CCGTATCATCATTTTTGATAACTGTAAATTTCAATCTATGTGGGTAAAACTTGGGCACTGTGGTGGTAAGTAATTCCATATTAGTTTGTTCATTAGATGTATCACACAGTGAAATACTAGTGTTTACAGGAAACCCACACATTCAAACAGATATTTGGACTGCCGATCATCCCATCCTATGTCAGTAAAAATAGGATTGGTGAAATGTTTAAGTAATGGGGCACAAAAACTAAGTAGTACCAAGGAAAATCTAAGACAGGAAGTAATACACATAAGAGAAGCCTTGAAACTTAATAATTACCCTGATAAATTGGTTGGAGAGTATGTACGAAGATGTTAAAATAAAATAAATAATGATAGTAGTGATAGTGATAATAATAATAGTAATACTAATGACGATATGCATGTCAAACATGCGCAAGATAATGACAACACCAACAATAAAGAATCTAAATCATCAGTAGTAATTCCATACAAGGAAGGAACCTTGGAAACCTTACGGAGGAGAATTCTTAACAACGCAGGAATAAAAGTGGTATTCAAACCCCACAAACTCAATTAGAAACAAGCTTTGTCGGTTGAATGGTGGATCCTGTGGAGCTAACAAAACAAAACAATTAGGTTTATCTAATACCCTGCTGGATTGATTGTCAGGTCAAATATACATAGATCAAAGTAGTGCAGTCAGTCTAGCCGAGCATAAAAATCTAGCGGCGAAATCCAGATTAGTTGACCCGAATAAGATAAGAAATCTAAAGAATAGTTCAGCCATAGAACTACATGCAATTACACACAATCATACAATAGGATGGGATAAAATGACAGTTTTGAAATCTCATGTAACAGGGTGGAGGGAGAGATTGATGACAAAAGCTTTGCATATCGCATCAACCGCAAATACGTGTCATAGGAATGATTCAACATCTGTCCACTCAGATATCTGGAAAATTCTACTACCCTAATGGTAACAAATAGGAGAGAACAAAGAAAACTATAAAACTCAAGTTTCGAAGTCGTGTGATTATAAATGATGAAATGATTATGAACAATAATAAATTTTGTTTGAAACTGTGTCATCCAGTAAACACTAATACTGTTTCATTGACTGTGTGGTACATCTAATAAACAAACTAATAGGGAACTGCAAATTTCCCTTTTAGTTTCACAAATAATTGATCCAGTATCTGCTAAACACGACTTCTTCACTTTGACCCTTACAAAGTACAAAATCTCCATGCACATTAACAGCAACAACAACAATAAGAGACTGCCTACTAAATTATGTAAGTCTGTAACAACAGAAGACAAGGGCCAGGCAACAGATCCTTTATTAAGGAAAATCAACACATATTTATATATTTTAATGTACATTATTGTAGATTATTGTAAGTAGAAAATACAGTCTTTTGATTGGTTGTTTCTCACAGAAAATTAACCTTGCATCTCTTTGTGGCTGTGTCAGACTATCCATATGCTAACTGTATCCGCCTACGCAAAGCCTTTGTTCTCATTTTCTCACCATCAATATTGGGTACATAAACACTGACGTCCATTACTGTCTACCGACTTTGGCTAGCAACCAGTTCTCACCGCAAGTCTATTTTAATTATTATCTTTATTTTTACGAATTGATATCAGTTAGAGAACCGTTGAAAACCAGCTGGGAGTACTGGGTAGCTGTTTCATCAGCCTAGTTTGGGAATCATCAGCAGTACGCACCCACTTCCAGGGATCGAACCCATGACCTTCCGGCTACAAGGCAAGCAATCTCGTATACGATTCAGCCACTGGGATGCGATCCCTCAATGGCTAGTGCGTGAATTCTAACTTCTACGAATTCGCGAGACCACCAATTAATGTCATAGGTGGGACATCCACCCTTACACTTGACTGGATGGACTTCATTGGTCGCGACTTCTCACTAGAACTCCAGGAAACTCCGTCCTGTAGCGAGTCACTAGCGTGCATCGGATTAATTTTCAATAGTTGGTTTGTAAGGATTAGTTTTGTTTTTCCGAGTTGATCACGAATTGATGGATGTCCCACCAATGGCATTGGTTATTGGTCGCACTAAATCACGAATTGGTCGAAGTTAGAATTCATGCACTGGCCACTGAATTGGGTCCCAGTGGCTGAATGGTATACGAGGTCATTTGCCTTGTAACCGGAAGGTCGTGGGTTCGAACCCTGGCAGTGGGTGCGTCCTGCCGACGATTCCCAAGCACTAGGATGAAACAGGTGTCCAGTACTCCAATGCTGGTTTTCAATGGTTCTCTAACTGATATCGATCCGTGATCAACTCGTAAAAACAAAGCTAATCCTTATAAACCAACTAAAGAAAATATTAGTTTTATCCATTATCAACCAATCCTCGTATACTTCAACAGTAATTCTATTATTAAGCCAGGTAATGTCAGATATGTTCGGGGAATAGTTTTTTTTATGTGACTTTAAGGCGTAATGTGGACTTAATTCACTTTGAACTCAATTTCCCGGGAAAGATATTTCATATTGCCAGTCGTCTATCCACTCGAACATATTGTGTGTGAGAGCTAATGATCCTAATACTCACTGCAAAGGTTATGATGTAGGTGAAGCGGCGTTCAGCTCTGTAACACACTTGGTACCAAGAGATGGGCTAAATAAGATTGCCTCATAGTTTGTGCAAGGTTCGAAATACTGGCAAGACACATGAACCGAAGCGGGTGATTTCCTTAAGGAGCCATCACCCTGACGAGTCTTCGACTTGAAGTATGATTCACATGGCAGTGAAGCAGCGCCACCATAGTTTCCGGTAACGAAAACAGGTCCATACTACCATTCAATCCTCTTGGATTCTGGCGCCCATGTTCACTATAGGTTTCCCAGCCGCCCCCCTCCCGGGGTACACCTGCATGTCCACCAGTTCGGTTATAAGTGCCAGACATTCGCATTCACCGTTTCATTTTTGTGTGTACCACCCTAATCACAACGTGAACGCATTGAATAGCATTTACCCAGCAGAGGCTATTTAGTCCAATGAGAGCATTTCGAGATGACCCAAGTCTGCCCAGGCAAAGTTAAACTTTAAGCACCACTAACTACCACCAATCAGCGAATGACCTCGAACGCACCAATCACGTGAAGGAGGCATTTTTGTGCATGGAATGCAGATATTTATCCAAAAAATGCATAGAAACTGTATAAAAGTGTTACAGAGGATACCTTGCTCTCACATTTGATAAAAATAGCTCTCACTTCTAAGTTGGAGTATCAACAGAGTATAATTCCACTGTGGATGAAGTTTATTTTGATAAAGTCTCATAGTGTTATACAGTAATATTTAATGAGCAATAAATTGTGCTCGAAACGTGGTCATCAGTCAATATTACTGTATAACAACACTGTTACCCGTAGTGGAATTATACTCTACCACCACAGTGCACAAGTACTATTCGTATATCAACAGAGTAATTTAACCACACTCTATGCATGTGATTATTTAGTTCTTCTAACCCTAATCTCTCCTGAACCTAACCCTAACGTGAAAATATCCCTAAACTAACTCTGTAATCTACCTCGAACCAACCCTAATGTCGCCTTTATTAGGTTAACCTAACCCTAACTTGTCCCTGGCCTAAACTGTAACTTAATCTTTCCCAAAGCTAAGCTGAAACTTGCCAGATATCCCATTAAATAGCATAACACATCGATGAGCATATTTCCGATTGATGATGACAACATTATTTGGCAGGTTTCACTAATTAACTTGCTCAGTGAGCGTTTCGTCGTAGTCATTGGTGCTGTCGCACTCCATTGGTCGTAGTTGTTAGTGGTGCTTAAAGTTTAACTTTAAAGCCTCTACCCACCCTCAGTTGCAAATAGTTAGCAAGTTTCCTTAGACAACAATTGATCAAAATGAGAATCCAATAATACGCTTTTAAATTTCTCTGATAAAGATACCCTTTTGGAAACACACACAAAGGAACTGTGTGGCTCATCGGTCCTAAAGACTCGACTTTCAAACCAGTAGGTAGCCAGTTCAGACCTTGCTCCAAATACCAAGGTTTCGGCAGCTCCACGTCCCACAAAATCCTCACTGCCAACGATATAGAGCCGCAAGTAGTCGTTCAATTAACATTAAACACATTTATAGCTAACACATATGCAGTTCATTACTTTTAAAAATATATGCATATATATATTTTTCGTCAAAAAGCAACACATCTTTCATTTTTAAAATTGAACACAACACTTTAAATGTCAAATGTAAAACAATCGTTTGTTTGTGTGTGTGTGTGTGTGTAGTGTCGAGGTAACAGTTAAATACATATGCACAACACTGTTCACTTCTGCACTGCATCTTACTACTTAAAGATTGGAAATAATGATTTTTTTGCTAATAAAAAAAGCTAAATAGTAATAATAATAATAGTAATATTCATATACACATTTCCCTAACAATGCAATATGCTTTTTGGGAATAAAAGAGTGGTGTGAAAATATTTTACAGAAGCCAAAATAAAGCAGACTCCAATAATATCATGCTTTTTGTATGAAGAGTTTCTGTTTAATAATTACAATAACCAGGAGCAATTCAAAAAGGCGTGTTTAGGCAAACAGTGCAGAGACACTCAAAAAAAAAAAACAAGAAAAGAAGAACAAGAAGCTGAGAGCATGAGAATAGGCGGAAGGGGTCTCGATTTTAGAGACACTGGAGACACTGTCAGTCACAACGGTAATATTTTGAAGAAGAAGAAGAAGCAGCAGAGGCGAAAAAAGAGGAAGGCAAAGATATCACCCCGTCAGGAAGATTTACAGTAAGCATATACATACACACACGCACATTTTGTTTCCTGTGGAAGTAAATACAAAATACCTCCTTCTTTTCTTAAAAAAAAGAGACAAAAATAAGATCAAGTTGAGATCATAAGTGACAAAAGATAAGATCTATACATTGTACAGATGTGATTGGTGTATTTGCGCCTGCTAAAGAGATACATCTACCCATCTACTCGCCTTTAGGCTTTTACACCATCGGCTGATTGATTCTGACGACCACGTTTCACAGATAAATTATGCAAACGTGCCAGATTGACTTCAACTGTAGTTGTTTGATTTTTAAGAAACTCGAGTGTTTGATCAACATCTTCTAAAGACTGTTGAGCAGATTGTTCATTTTCCACGAGTATTTTATCTGCCTCATCAAGATCATATTCTAGCATAACATTAGCGCCTAGCCATAGGCCAACTTTATCAGCTTTTGGAATGTGAGCACGTGCAAACAACTGGTTGGATACTTCAAATGTCACGTCTAAATTAGTATGTTGTTTTTGTAATTGACGAACCACGGCCAGTGTTTTTTGAATATCTGGTAGTTGTTGCATCAGTCTGATTCTACGTTGTACTAGGGCTTGTTCAATAATTTTATACTTTTGATATAATTCTTCAAAATATCTTCCAACTTCCATAAATGTTGTAAAATTATTCGCTTTCATATAGGCGTCTACATCTTCAATGAATTCAGCTTTTGGTATGCCTTTTTTATCCATGCTTAGCGGTTTATCATTTTCTGTTGAATTGGCGGAGTTTGTATCAGTCATAATTGAACTGATTAATCTGGAATCAATAATAATAATAATTAATAATGGCAAAAGTACTCTATACACTTTCAGAGTCTGAAATATCTTCATAAATTCTATTTAGATTTTTTATATTTATATCCGACTATCGACCAAAGGGCGTGCGTATTGCTCATCAGTCCGCTCCGTCCTCCTTTATGGCGGTCAGTGAGACCTAGCCATTGAGAGCGGAAGACATGAAAAGATTAGCTGTCTTTGATCATAGGTGTCTGCATTCTATCTCCCGTGTGAAGTGGTATAATAAGGTGAGCAATATTGAGGTTAGGCGTCGAGTGCTAGGTAAGGCGGGGAAATCAATCGATGAGACTGTGAAATTACATCGACTGAGATGGTTGGGACATGTGTTACGTATGCTTAGTCATCGCCTTCCTCGACAATGGGCAATGTTAGCTGATAAAGGGCCACGCTGGAAAAGAGCTAGCGGCGGTCAAACGAAAACATGGCACCAGTCAATGAAATCTACAACAGTTAGTCTAAGCCACGTAGGAAGGTGTTAACTTCCTGGTTGGGGTCCTCGGGACGGTAAAAACCAATGGTTGGAAACAATTGGTGACATGGCTCAAAATCATTCTCAATGACTGGCGCCGATGGATTCACTCCTTGTGACTTATGATTTCCAATGAAACTGTTTTGTTCTTCGTTATTACTATTCCTTTGTTTCACACCTCTGTTTACTGTCTATACTATGCATTTCTCCTTTCTTCTCTTGCTTTGTGTGCTACATGGAGTGTGGCGACTTGAACTGCCGCACATATGTGCAAAGTTCTATGTCGAAAACAGACAGACAGACATATGGTAAAACTTCCGCGTAATATGCAATAATATGGTGAACAAATTAATTTTACGTAGAATGTGATAGGGGACATGAATTCTGTCGATGTTGAAGATACGCCTTGTTGACGAGTGTCAACAAGCACGAAATCTAGTTCCAAGGCTTTCTGCCTGTTGTCTCCAACTACATAACATCAATTCGGAGTGTTGAGCTGATGAGCCAACTAACTTGGTGGCCACATTGCAAACTTTACTGATGGAACTCAGTCGGCACAAAGTGAAAAAAGACACATGACATTGGTTACCACCCAATATTCAACTAACGTATCCACCTTGCCGGTACATGAAGTTAATTGTGAGTCTGAATAGCTGTGGTAACGTCTCTGATTGGATGACGCTTTAGGTAACCACATGTTTGAATCTCCCAGGGGACATGAGTACCTACAACAAGACTGCAAATACATCTTGTTGACGAGTTCCAACAAGCCCGAAACCTAGGTCTAAGGCTTCCTACCGACAGCCTCCAACTAAGTGACAACACTATGAGATTACGAAGTTACACGATGACATATTGGTATGGCAAATGATGTGCTATGCACTCCAATAAAGATTGCGACTTTCTTTAATGTGTAATAACCATTTATCAAACAAATACAAAACAAAGATTAAAAAAATATGTTATCAAATTATTTCCCCCACATATACTGTATGGATTTATTCTAACTAATCAGTCATTTGTGATTTAATTCAGCTCACCACACTTAACATGTAAACACTAGCTAAATTAGGGTTACGGTTTACGGTGAGTTGTAATCTGAAGTGGTGACAGCTAGTGGTGTCCAAAAGACTGCTCAGCAGTCCGCCCCGTCCTCCTTTATCGCTATAAGATCCGGCCATTGAGAGTGGAAGACATGAAAAGGCTAGCTGTCTTTGATCATAGGTGCCTGCGTTTTATCTCCCGTGGTGCAATAAGTTGAGCAATGCTGAGGTTAGGCATTGGTCAAGTGCTAGTTAGGTGGGGGAGGGGGGGGAGAATCAATCGACGAGGTTGTGGTTACACAGACTGAAATGGCTAGAACATGTGTTACGCATGCCTAGCCATCACCTTCCTCGATGGACAACGTTAGCTGATATAGGATGAGGTTGGAAAAGAACTAGTGGTAGTCAAATGAAAAGATGACTTCATCAGTCAGTGAAATCCACAACAGTTAGTTTAAGCCAAGTCGGGAAGTGTAGACTAGCTGGCTGGAGTCCTCGGGGCGGTAAAAACCAATGGCTGGAAACAATCGGTGATATGGCTCAAAATCGTTCTCAATGGCTGGTGCACATGCATCCACTCCTTGTGACTTATAATTTCCAATGATATTATATTGTTCTTCGAGATTACTATTCTTTCTACCTCATATCTCTGTTTACTGTCTCTGTTTTGCATTTCTTTTTACTCTCTTCTCTTGCTTTGTGTGCTACATGGAGTGTGACGACTTGAACTTCTGCACATTCGTGCAAAGTTCTAGGTCGAAAACAGACAAACAGACGGCTACTTTACAACTTAAGAGTAATCTCATTATTAAAAACAATCACATTCACATAAAAAAGATGAGTTTACAGCATTGCTGAATGATGTGAAAAAGTTTTATCAATATGAATATGAAGACGTGAAGTGAATTTATCGGAAGGAATAATTTTCGTTTACACTGATTTTCGATAAAAGATTTAATATTAATGGTGATATTTATATGAATTGGCTTGGTTGGTTGTACACCATAATCGCCAACCATATATTTTCAACTATCAAAAGTTTTACACATCACCACTACTTTAGACGTATTTCTTTCCATTTATTCGAATATCTGAAAAGACCAGTCCTAAACCCCTAAATGAAACAGATGGGCTGGTTGAAAACCAACACATGCTACATCATATATACATATTTATGCATAGGAACTACACAGAATTCCTAATCACGTGTCTTAATTTGTGGAGTGAGGTCCAAATCCGTGACCCACTGGTTGCGAATCGAGTGTGTGCCGATGAACCACAGCTCCACAGGAAGATTTCACTGTTAGTATTGTTGTCATGGTCTATAATACACAGCTTAAAATACACTTCTAGAGACGAAACGTTTAATTAAAACCAGGACATATGGGGCAATTTTTCTTATTTGCAAGATCATGATCCACTAGTCCGTGCGCATATACTCCTACGATTGCACGGGTGTAGAAAACAAATAGCTCCTAATCTCTTGTGAGGTCAACCTTTTGATGGTATGGCAATACAGATAAGGAGAAACTGTCAGTCGATTGAATTGTGGAGCTGTACCTAGTGCAGTGGTTAGGACATCTGCTACAAATACTGGCCCATTACATTCCTTTTATGGCAGTATTACCTGGTATTGGACTGGGTTGATAAAGAACTAGGGAGGGCAAACAAAAAACATAGCATGACCATGAATGAAGTAGCTGACTGATGTTTTGCATCATGTACAGAAGTGATGGTGAAATAGTTCAGTCATTCTGAAAGATTTTTTTGTGATTTCCCAGATCCACTACGTGTGAATCTTTCTTCTTCTACATGTAATTATTCTTTCCAACAAATCTTACATTATAGTTCGTTTGCGTTTATTTTTCAACCTTTATTTTCAGCTTCACAAAGTATCGCAGCTTTAAAGGCTACTCCTTTTTGCACAGATCTACACTGGAGACTTGCCTGACTAATTTAGACCTAATCACTTTTAGCTGATACTCACAGGGAAGTGGACTGCAAATGCTTTCATATATCCTGACCTCATTTTTACTGAGGAATACTTGCCTTTTAAATAGACTTAGAACAAAGACAATAGGTGCCTAATGTTGCTTATTATCTGATTTTTCTAATAACCAATGTCACAAAGGGGAACAGAGAAGTTCCGACATCAAAAACAATGCGAGCAACTAATATTCTGTCTTACAGGTTATTAGAGCTTGAGTCTGATTTTAACGGGGTGTATTTTATGCCAATGACACGTTTGCAAAATTCCATAGTGTCACCTGTAAAACGTTAGAATTAGGGAACGTCTGTCAACCTCGATAGCCCGTCAACTACCCGAAAACATTCAATGATATAAAGTCATTTGGAAACATTTACTGTTTACAACTATAGCCACTTTGGTGGGGTGTTTAGAATACCTTATAATCCTTTTACTAGTGCATAACACTCGCCTACTACCTATGGTAAAATGTTCTCTAAAAGTTATGCAGTTTTTCAAGGTATTCCGATGTTTAGAATTCATCTAGTAATAACTAATCACTACATTATGGTTAACATATGAACCAAGCTGTTAACACTTGAAACTCAAAATTTCAGAAATACTGTGTCGCAGATAATAGCAGCTTGTAGTGTTAACTACAAGTCAGGACCGTGATAACACAAGTAATCAATAGACTCTTTAAGTCTGGTCTGTAGATATGACTTAGTGATTAAATGAAATATTTGAATTCACATCTAGCAAATAAGCTAAGGTTATGCTAACTCATTATACAAGGATGACAACGACAACCCACCTGACTACGTAGCGTACCACTTAAAACCCACAATAACAAATACAATATCCAATATCATTTTTACGAGTTAGAATAAACCAATTTGATTTGATGTGGTATGTTAAGACTTTGCTGCTGCTGTGAATGAAGTTGATCCTTTTACCAGTTAGTCCCCGGTATCGTCGTCAAAAGAAAAGAGATAATAATAACAGATATAATTAGTGTAGGTTATTCAGACTATAGGACAGAAAAAGAAATAAAGAAAACGTAAAAACAGACAACCAATTAAATTTGAAGTTAATATATATACATACATAAATATATATGTATAATGTCAATAATAATAATTACAACAAGTGAATGAATAGTAGTTGGGGTAGTCAGGAGAGTGAGACAAGAGAGAATGTGAGAAAGTAAAACGGTGAGTTTAGATGTCTACCGGTTATTTGCGTACAAGATATTAAGGGGATAGGCCATTTGGTCTCAGTCCTTGCGTCGCAGCATGATCTTCCAGCCTTCACTCAAAGCTGTCCACTGACGGTTACATTTGTTAGTAAGGAGTTTGAGGGACGGCAAACTCGTAGTGAAATGAAGTGCAAGAGCATCTGACTCTTCACTTTTTAGTGAGCTATCCTTCTGAGATTTTCACGAGGGAGCCCATATCTACTCAATGGCAGGACATCTATGTTTGAGTGATTCTGGTAATTTGTTATCTTGTTGGCAGTAATCAAATCCCCTAAGCCGATGGTAGCTAAGTGTGAATAGGCCTAATTTATTTAGCCTTTCATCATACGGTTCATTTTTGAGACGCATGTTCTGTACAGCCTTTGAAAGGGCTCAGGAGTGAGCGCACCTCACAGTCTGTGTGTAAAGTGTATGACTGCATATGCCCTCGCTACATCCCCCGTGTAATTTACGCTTGTGTACATTTTTCCGTTAGCAAATAGACTTAAGTCACGCTCCGATGTTGTGCAGTGCAAGCTTTCGTTGCACAGGGTGTAACTTGCATTCTGCAGCCTACAGGTGGGTAATTTCACTGCTTTGCACTTTTTCAGGTTGAAAGTCATGCCATTGGTCACCGCCCAGTCTTCCAGAAGATTTAGATCTGCCTTCAGCCTATCTGAGTCCTCCGGAAACTTTATTGCCCTACATATCTTTGCGTCATCAGTGTACAAAAGAGTCAGGCAGCTTAGATGGCATGGTTGGTCAGTGGTCCTAGGATAGAACCCTGCGACACTCCTGATGACGAGCAGTGTCAAGATGACCGGACTCGATTGACCTTGGTGCAGAATTTCCTTTCACCTAGGTAGTCCTTCCTTCAGTCATGTCAGAAACGGCTCACCTATACCTACCTGACTTATTTTGTGTAGGAGAAGATCATGGTGAACTGTGTCAAATGTCTTCTCAAAGTCTAGAAAGACCACATGGACTGGAACATTCATATCCCACCATGATGTCCAATCGTTCCAAGCTGATAGTAGGTTTGTCACAGAGGATCTGCCTTTCTTGAAACCATTTTACGCTTCAAGAAGTCTCTTAGTGCTATCGAGGTGCTCCCTGATATGATCAATTATAATTTCCAGTACGTTCGATACCACTGAGAGTAGCACTACTTGCCTATAACTGGTGGCGTTTTGCCTGCCCCCACCCTTGAAAACTGGAGAAAGGATGGCTCTTTTCCACTCCCTTGGAAGTTTCCCTGAATCCATTGGGCGTCGCAAGAAGTCTTATAAGGGCCTACATAAGGCTTCGGTGCAATGTTTCAGAAGAGAAAGGATGATGTTGTCACAATCTGGGAACTTCCCAGATGTGAATCTCTGTAGCTTCCCTAATACCATTGTCAAGTTTATTTGGAGAGCAGCCACTAGGTTTTCATCCGGCGAAGTAGTGTGTTGCCTTTTTGGTCCGTACCAGTGATAACCACATTGCTGTTTACTGTTTGTTGAAGGCTAAACTGAATGTTTGAATCATCTACAGACCTGTGAGGTATTGTCCGTTTGGAACTTCTAAAGCGCATGCCCGACATGAATCGGTACAGGCTTTTGGGGTTCGCCAGGAGTTTTTTGGCAAGGTTAGCCTGAAATGACCTGTCACTCCCGACTCTCACGTCGCACCGGTTGCTGAGTTCCAGGTATGCATCGTGGTCGGTCTGAAACTTGGATACTCACCACGTAGATCGGACCTTCCGCTTTGCTTGCAGAATACGTTGCGTATCTCTCTTCAGTCATGAGTATCGTTTTCGGCCTGTTGTGATTAAAGGGACGGTATCTGAAATTGCTGTGTGAATAATCTCTTTCACCACTTCCCAGTGTTCATCCACAGATGACTCATCCCTTGCTAACAGCCATTCTGTTTCAGACAAAATCTCCGCATTTCAGCATAGTCCGCCTTTTTATAGCACAGACATGTCTTCTTATATCCAATGTATTTGTGAAAATGAGTCAGCATACTGATTTGTTAATGTACGCTTCTTTCGGTTGAAGAATAACTCCTGATCTCCTACGGGTTTCAATGACGAGCTTCCATATCACCGCATTTTGAACTCACCACATAGATTAAGGCTTAGTTATGAGGCCACAATCCTCTAAATCCAATATCATTTGCAATCCATCATGTTATTGTAACAGCCGTGTCTTATACCCATTTCTCGATGTTTAAACTTAGCGGATCTAAGCACTTCTGAAAATCTACAATGAGTCTCTTAACTTTCCTATTATATCTTGCAGTTATGTCAAGCAATTGGTAACAAGCGAACGAAGCACAAACCTTTTCAGGACCTATTTATATTGATCCTCTTGGGGTATGCAAACGACTATATGGCAGCCCGCCGCCAACACATCCACCGGAAGGGTTCTGTTAATGAGGAAACCATTAGGTTTTTGGATCAGGCTGTTACAGATTTAGGGCCCCCGGAATTCTACTGTAGTGAATTGTAGCGTTTAATGATCACATAAATTTTGGGGCTTACAGCTTCACCATTATCCATAATTGTGTGCTCTTTATAATGAAGAAACACTTCCAATCGGTGAGTCAATTCATCATGCATCTTCGTTCGATTTTTATTTTGATCTGAATACGTTTGTTTGAAATATATTTCTTAAATGGAACGACCTTAAACTTTACACTGCTCAGCCTGCTCATCACTTCTTGTACAGATCAAGTACAAGTTACGTTATACTCATTCAGCCGTTCTAGTCTTAATATCATCATGCAGTATTTTTACGACGGCTATATTACTTTTCAACACAGGTTTCGATCAATACATATTAGGTTTATATTTATTCCACGGCGTTTGGTCGGCTTTTACAAAAAAGAATAACGCAGTATTCTTAGACCTTACGAAATAATGTCAGAACCAATACCCCTTCAATTTTTTGAAGAATTTCATCAAGCAACATATAGTTTCCTTTGTTTTCTACATAATTTTCACATAGTATAAAACTAATGTGGTACTTCGTGAATGTAAATTCCTGTTTAATGTGTTGGTGTTGATTTTTTTAATTGCCAGGTATACGCCTGCCATTTAAATAAAATAAAATCTTGCATATTTCTTCTCAGTAAAGTGAACTTAATGTAAATAATTTATTTGTTGGTGGACGCATATACAGTAATCTCAATAAAATTCTCACGTAACGTATTTATTATTGCCCAATAATGCACATCAATACCAGCCAAAGGACCCGTGTTTTCACATCATGAAGACCTACTATGAACATGATAGGCGTTGATGAAAACCCAGTGTACCAACGTAAATAAGGTGAAACGTGGTTATTTGTTCACTCACGTCATTGTTTGACCCTACGCATGTGGTGCCTAAGATGAAGTGGAAGGTGCTGGTGAAACATACTTCTCTCTATGTGGTCGAAACACTGACAATGATAACTACTATCGTGTTTATCCATCTCCTTTAACTAAATAGCTGCATCATCACGGTCAATGATTGACAAATTTCGTACGAATCACTAACAATATATCCAGGACTTATAATATTGTTATATTAGTTATATTAATCAAATAGAGAATCAGATTAGAAACTCATTTACCTCAGAACTTCAAATGAATTATTCACCGTTACTGAGGATGCAACTGTGCTCAAATAAACACCAAACTTTAGACCAGGGGCTGGCCAATTCTCACAAACTCTTTCAGTGAGCCATATGCTACATTTGCTTGAGAGAAAACCGTTGTGCGCTGCATAGTGATAATACTTTTTATTTTCGTAACTTCAGGTATGATTACTTAGGGCCAAAGTGTCGAACCTTAAGAGTTTCTATTCAGTTTGTTCTGAGTCCTACGTTCTATTAGTGCACATTTTAAGACCTTATCGATGTCAGGGAGATCTGAAAGGATAGTTGTAACAGTATGAATGATCTGAGTATACTTCATGAACAATCTGCTTGTAGCATTGACACTTTTTCAGTATTTCAGCTCATGTTTTGATTGTCATCCTCTATCCTGGACCTGATTTAAAACGCTTATACCTCCATATGTCTTGTCTAACTCCAATCCTTATTATTTTTCTCTGTAGCTGATTCCTATTATTAATCCTCCATTTTGACGCTGTATGATTCTGAAATATTGAAAATAACGCATCACTTTACTATCGCAACTTTTGATTGAGCGAACTCGAATTTCGTCATGGATTGGCTGCTTGCATTTGGACTGTCTGCTAGATACGCATTTAGCTTCACTTGATTCTTGTTTTATAGTTAGTGTTCTTGTTGATTCTTAGGTACTTTACAGTCGCTTTTAGTTAAATGATTTCGTATTTTGTACCTCAGAGTCTTTTGGTGTACACAGCTATTTGTCAGCACTGACGCAAATCATGTGGGTCATACTAACCTGTTTTCTTTAGCTTGTTTTTTGACTTCAGATTAGAATACCTGGGTTTTTATCATTAGATCAGCTAACGTTTAGACTTAGTTGTATAATTAAGTGCTGGGTATTGATGCACAAGATTTTCAATGTAAATGCTCATTATTATACCCAGCTATAGAACCTTTAAGGTGTTTTTATTGAGCTACGAATTTCCTGCTCTTACTGCATACTTTTATGTGCCGCGAAATTTTCTTGAGGGTACCAAGCTCTGAGTATATTGACCGGGAACGTAACTTACCTTCAAAATATTATACCACAACTTCTGTGTTTGATATTTTCCCCTTCAAATACCGAAGCTCTACTTATTTTTTTATTTTTATTTTGATTACAGCTTGATTCCACACCGCATTTTCAGTACAAGTATGGAATTTTCAGCATGGATATCGGTAGCCCAAATTTCAGGCCGACCATAGATATCGGGTGTGCGTCGGCAGGGGATCGAACCCCTGACCATGTGCATGGTCGGCGAGAGTCCTAACCACTATGCCACCGACGCACCACTCTGTATTTTTGTGTACATTAGAACCTTTGTGGTGCATCTCGTGCTGTTTTATATATTTGTTTGAATATGCATATTTGGTAGCTGTGAACCATTTTGTGTTCAGCGATTGTGCTCTTGATATTTGGATGCCGAAAAACCTCAAAATCGAAGGCTGGCATGATAAATACTGCATACTTAGACAACATATCTTTCAACAATTCTGAAATTAATGCAAATCCATTTCTGACAGCTTGGTTGTATACCAGATTTTGGGTTGAAGAATAAAACGCGTATCTTGGCTGGAGTTTATTCATGAAGCGGTTGCGACAGTACCATTCACATGGTTTTTGAACGTGAAGTGGGACACACTTCAATGCACAAGTGAATTGTACATTACTTTCACTTGATCTATTTCTCAAAATGTAAATGAGTGCATCACTATTTTCTCTACTAAAAATTCGAAATTTTTTAAAACAGATCACTTCATGCCATTAAACCTGTCAACTGAGTGGATCAAAACGGTTAATAATGCTTTAGAGGCTAGGGATGGTGACGTTCATGGATAGTGCGAAGTATACCAGTGCAAGATATAATACTCACAGCTATAAAATTCCTTTTCCGTAAATCAAAGACAAAGCGAAACACCAGAATTGGTCGTGCAAATTACGAATTATATTTCGGAACCAAATGAAAGTGCGAGATGATTGCTTAACTAGCTAGGAATCGTGCACAAATGAATGAACGTAACGCAACGGTGTACCAAGTGGCGTGAATGCTTGACCGGAAGCATTCAGCTAAACAAATTGACTAATACAGTGAGGGCTGCGAGTTCAGCTATACCTGACTTCCACAGTATTTAAATTTCAAAGGAAAATATACAAACAATCTGAGGGAGTTGCCATGAGGTCACCAATATCGCCGGTTGTGGCAGATATATTCATGGATAGGCGGGAAAACTTAGCGATTGAAACGTTCAGCCCCATGCCGAAAGTGTGGTGGAGGTACGTGGATGATGCTCAGCAACAGTAATTAAAAATTTGGGTTGGCTCTCTCACGATGCATCATGTAAAAGTACCGAAGTTGTGTCATAGTTGAGCCACGGTTTTGGATGCACATATGAGTGAATGTATTGATCGATAAAACAAGTCTAGATCAATTACCGTTACGCACAGAACGGGACATAAAATGTGTGCGGTAAAACTATTTAATCATAAGGAAATACATCCACCGGACAAAATTTACAGTTTATATAATAATTGGGATCAGTTCCACCGGAAGTCGACAACTAAGGTTAAGGAGTGGCGAAAGGTAAACAAAGCAAAAACCCACACTATGTACTAATAGTAGTTAGTCCATTTAGAAAGCCGTCCTTTATTCCAAGGCTCTGTGCATTCATTAGAAATTTTGGAAAGCTCCTCAGAAATCGATGAAATGATACTTCGATCAGTTTCTTGTTGTTTAGCTTTACCTTGCTTTGAGGTTTGTCAAGCACGAGGTGCTTCCCTGAAACAATGTTGCGAGGTGGAATGAAAGTTGTTTTTTCTAGATATGTCATGATAGCTTTCATGATTATACTTTCCAGAATCTCTACCAAGATGTTGCTGAGACTAGGGGGCATATATTTTGAACAGCATATTCTAGACGTTCATTTTGTGGATTGAGTTACCACTCGGCAACAGTCCACTTGAGCGAGATGCCTTTAAGGTCATAGTTAGTGAACTCACTGTGTTAGTTGCCAGCTGCTGGAGAAGACTTGGACGATGGTCACTGGGCCCCACTGATTTCCTGCATCTACTGCATCTAGATATTTGATTACGACAACTTAGTTGGCGTTGGCAGAATCCACTGCGTTTCCCTTTAACGTAACCGGAGGTGATGCTACCTGTGGTTACCTGTGTGAAGACTCTGAAGAAGTGGTACGAGATTGCATTTTCCTGATCCTTTTCAATTGCGAGGAGACACACTGTACTGAAGATATAGATTCAATCTGGAAAACAAGAAGTAAACTCCAAGAAATCACAAGGTTTTTATAAACTCGTCAGAGAATTTGAACACTGTTTTTCGAAGGCCGTTGCTATTGGATCCAAACGCGCGCCTTTGCTAACTGCTGCATGACTTACGAAAATTGTCCAAGGAAAGATGAGGTTGAGTCCTATCTTAGAGAGCATAAGATCAATGAAATGTTTCAGAATTTAACTTCTCTGCTGTTTTTTCACCGTCCAGGTGAGATAACTTTATTTATTTACAGCACAATGAATTCATTCCCAAGCTTATTATAATGCTGAATTAAGTCTCACTAATTCTGAAATAATTCTAACATCCTATAGTGAGTAAATTCTGAATCTGTTCTGAAATGGATTCTTTAATGGCACAGACTAGAACTTAAGTTCTGGTTTTCAGCATGACTGGCACTAATTCAGCACCGTGTTCTTTTTCTAGGCATTTTCAGGAGTATACCAGAACCTGCTGGGCTTGCTTATCAGCATTGCTCCAGCCCTCCAAGACATATCAAGCATGGACTAGCGTTGGTTCAGAACGAAAAGACTTAATTCAGCATCCATTTCTCTTTTTAATCATGACCAGTGTTATTTCAGAACGTAGTGGGTAGATAAAATCTTTGTTTACCAGAAAAAGTCATTATTAAAGAAGAGGTTAAAATAAGTTTAGAATTGTTGTAAGCTTGGGGAGTTGCTTCCGCTAGAATTAATTTCTTTGAATTAAAATGATAGAAGTGCATTATGAATCACAGAATTTACATGGATGGGACACAAATTAAAATGAGGTATGTGGGAGGCATTTCAGAGTAAGTAGTTGGTAAGGCAATTGTCACCAAATTAAATTTCTTCAACCAGGCTGACAGTTTATCATACTCTGACAGAAGGAAGTAAATGTGATGTAATTGTGGTCACAGTTATATTGACACATTTTACGACAAACATTTTTTAGAATTCATGCTTCTTCTGGGTTAGCCGTCTTCCTTGTTCTCCAACCGTGTAAGCGGTATTTGGTGGCTTTTAAGTTCATTCTCTTACCATAGATTTTTTTCAAAATCGCATTGTTTACCACCTGTGGCATAGAAAGCGTAAGTTGAGAATTTCATATTACAGTTATTATACGTCCGCTTACCAACCATTAATGAGTAGAAGGTGTAGTCCTGGACACTAAGTTTATCACTTTTGTCTCATAAAATGTTGCCATACTGTTCACTGAGCAGTCGCTGAGTGACATTCGTAACATCATTCTGGACTATGAAAAGTAGTTGGTGCATCCAAATAACATCGTTATGAGAAGCGAAGGAGTATTTATTACTATATGCTCAAATCAAGTTCCTCTACCAAGGTTTCCATCAAATATTTGCAACTGTTTTGAGAGGAAGCAATTTGTTCTCGGGATTTTCGTCCAGTATTCCTTCAGGAAAAGCAGTATTAGCAAACTGCAGTGTTTTAATTTTTATACCTGAGGTGATTTGATCTACTTAATAGATACACTAGCAGCATTTAATTCCAAGCTGCTTTTAGACGGAAAGACAGCATGATTTGTTAAAAGTGTTATCTTTGAAAAGGACCCTACCTAGTACTTTTTTGTCTTCCCAATCTAGTATCAAAGTAAGCGTAATGTGGGTCTTCAAATACATGGCGCTGATTAGCTATTAATTGAGATGAAGAATAGTCACTCATGAATACATCATTTCTGATAGCATTAATTAGCAAGCAGGTAGTTTATTTTTGCACACACCTCTCCTATTTACTGGCTGCATATAACACCTAACTCGGATGAGCAACTCTTTTTCATACTTGAAAATGTAAGATTCAATACAACGAAGGTTGACTTATTTTCGAGAGTATTTCTCAAACCTCGATCTTCCAATTGGTGTCACGAGAATAATGTATATACCTGTTAGCACTGTCATTGTCACATCACATCACTCCGTAAAATCCATGAAGTCTGCTTGCTGACTGAAGCTTCTCTCTTACCTTCAAGCTAGACAACGCTGTACTTCCTAACTGCAACCAAAAGACAGAGACGACAGAGTAATGAAAAAATCAAATACCAGAACAATTTCCTGTTAGGAGGAATGGTGAAACAGTTCACAACATAAGTGGAGTAGAAATAAACTTAACTAATCTTACTGATGACGACCGTTTTTATCTTAGACAGACAGATAGGCAGACTATAGCTCACTGAGGTTTATTCCATATTGAATAAGTTTATTTTTAAATATTACATAGCATTGTGCTGATGTTATGAGCACTTAAATCAATGAGGTTTAATTGTAAGACGGACCAACAACAATACCCCTTTTGGTATTGGAATAAAAAAGTTGAAGTCATCAGTGGATATCGCGATGCATTAATACCTGAATGCATTTATTGGCATCCATTTAATTTCACCTGATAACTTGCTTTAACCAAGTAGAATAAAATTACATTTAAAACACTTAACTAAAGTCTTCACACCATAAAAAATTATCAAAATGTCGACGACAGCCGTACTCATAATCTCAGTGTAATAATAAATTTATCTAGTGATACAGTGGAGTAATAAGTATTGATTATGTAGTGAATTTACTGTTTCATGTCCACTAGTATATCATTTAGGCACAACTCAGTTGGCTGTTTAAGCACACTGTTTGAAGTTCTAAATAAATATATTTCCAACTCTGGAGAGACAACTTGTTTGGCTATCATGATGCTAACCTTCACTATCCTTTATATTTGGCAATATATAGGATTCATATATGGTTGCTAATAATATGATGATGGAGAAGATTTGTAGCTCAGATGGATGGTTTTGATGTAGTTGTGTTCTCTGAGCTAGCTGGATAGTCAATTTGCGAGGCTTTCGTTATTGCCCTACTAGGCGACATCTTCAGCGCATACACTTCAATTTGAATTGAAGTGAGCTTTTAGATTTCTTCACGAGTTTATTAGTCATCTCTCCTGGTGATCACCTTGAATATGACTCTTTGGTTGTGTTTGTGTGTTTTCACACCCTCTAGACTGCTACTTGTATTGGTACTGGTGTTTACTGTTTCCTTGACTTGAACTTTGACCCTTTGTGTATGAGATTTCTTTCCTATCGGTTGGTAAATTTTGTCTATCTCAATGTGTCTATTAACTGACGATTCACTGGAATACCGGGCTTCTAAATATTCTCTAGCATGGATGGAATTGGATGAAACGACTAGTGAATAGTTGGATGAAGGTAGCTTAGTTAGGATGTCTTGTAGCTAAACGGGTTCGACATAAAACAGAAATATTTCGCATTCCACTGTCATCCAAAGTGTAGGAATTCTAAATTCCACATTTCCTATCGAAGTTCTTGAGAATACAAGTTTCCGTTTCATCCAGTCTTCTATTTGTACAAGACATAGTATCAGTGGTTACACCTGATCTCCTGCCTTTGAGTAGTCATCCATATACCCCAGTGACATCTTCCAGTAGACAGACAAACTATATGCATGTAGCTTAACAATAACAAACAAACGACTCAGTATAGAAATAAGAAAACTTCGCAAATCAATGTGGTGGCACAATCCGCCATCAATAACTACAGAGGTACTGTAATTCATCGCCTTCTTATGGTGTCTAATATTCTGAAATCATTTAAAAACTATCCCAGTATGTTTCGAAAATCAAAACAAGATTTCACTGAATGTTTCACTGAGCAAGCCAAAGATGCTTCCTCAGAGGGATTACTTGGATTTTATGAAACATCAAAATATGCATAGTTAAACAGCACATAAATTAAGGTGAACCTGTCTACAGCACTGTCACTTGTGGGCGAATATTTATACTAACTCAACAAGTGTGATTAGTCATCATGTATACGCATTGACATTGTCATACTATCATTGGTAAATCGTTACAGTACGTGATATTCTTTATTACTATATGGAGGTCATGACAGTTCATCAGTGACAGCTATTGTCATTGTTCACTGACTGAAAAAATATAATCATGAATAAACTTTATATTTCTCTTGTTGGGTTGGAGTCTTCCAGAAAGGTGAAATTTTATTTGATTGATTGGAGGATTTCATCATGAGCTGACATCAGTTAAAGAACCATTGGAAACCACCAGACAGGGAGTATTGGACAGCTGTTTTGTCACCCTAATTTGGGACTCCTCAGCAGTACGCAACCACCACAGGGGGTTCGGACCCAGGACCATCTGGTTACAAGGCGACCTCGTAGACTTAGTGAATGCGTGCTGCTGAAAGATTAGTCCCAAACTAGTCTGACGAAACAGCTGGCTATGCAGTACTCCATGCCTGATGGTTTTTTAATGATTCTCTAACCGATGTCAGCTCATGATGAAATCCTCCAAACAATCAAACAAAACAAAATTCCTGCAAAGCCAATACTTGAATAGTTTATTCCTTATCTCCCATTTATTGCATTCTGTGTAGTCAAGAAATGAAAGACTTCAGAGACCAATCTTTCTCTGTGTCAATGAAAACCTCTCCCTAGTATTTTGACATTATCAAAATCAATGTTATGTTCGCTTTCTATGACATGCATAACTATAGTTAGTCTTTTTGCCACAGTTTGTAGTTCCGCTTAATTCCTAGGCTGGCGTTTTGTGCATAGTTTATGTCCAGTCATTCTGACTTCCACACGTGTATTGCTTTCCTCTATACCCTATATTATTATTGTTTCCTTTAATTCTTAGAGGAACATGGGGCTTCAGACACACATCTCCACTGCGTTCGGTTCTCTGCCAACGTTTTGACCTGGCATCACGTCTGCCCACATGCCTTCATCTCCTCTTCACACCACCTCCTCCTCCATGTAACCCTCACACTGACGACCAACTCGTCGCTTCCCTTTAGGGTTCCACTCGACCGATGGCCTGGCATGTGATGTCACTTACTTGATGGTTTGTTTTCTCAGAGTATGGCCACCAATCCACCTATCTCCATTTCTTCCTGCATATTTGTTGCACAGCTGGTTCCTGCTGGGTTGGTTCGTTCATTACCAGAGATCTCTCCCTGTTGATGAACTTTTCTGACTGGCCATCTGATCTTGAGTAGTACTGAGCGAACACAGCTGTTGATGAAGGTTTGTAGTATGTTCGAAGTGCCCTTCGTGACGGGGTGCCAAGTCTCTGATCCATATAGGTAATTAGTACTGACTTCACATTGGAGTTCAGAATCCGGATCTTATTTTTCATGCTGAGTAGTGCTGTTAACCTCCACACAGACTTGAGAGAAATGAAAGT